ATAGTTTAAGAAACATAAAGCCTGATACTTTTGATAAATTTAGTTTTTTTCCATTATGATCTTTAATACCTTGGATAATCACATTAGGAAATGGTATTTATAAGAAATGATTATGATATCTATATCTGTTCCAGATTTGAACTTATTACTTTTTATGTTTTAGTACATTATTCTGAAATTCCAAAAAATTTGTATTGTCCATAAAATGCAAATTTTATCTATTTTTATTTTTTTTTATAATCACATACTCTCCTTGTGGTTTCAAGTAATGTATAAGACCCAAAAATAATATTTGTAAATAAACCTGAACAATATATGAGTATTTTTATTTTTAACTAGGATGTTAATGTTTATATATGTACATAAAACATTTTAATTTTGTTTCATAAATGTATTTTTATTTCAAGTTTATGTTTATGTTTCATTGCAGCCTTACTTTTGTTTATTGTGCCTAATAAACCGTGGGGTTAATAGCGTGAACTTTGTACGTTGTCTGTAAACTACCTCACCCCTGTTGGTGGTCACTCTCGTTCAGCCCAGCATGGGCACATTTGAGCATTACTGTAGATAGGATAGTAAGAAAGCTTTTCGGTACTTGAATATCATTTCTTTGAACTTTCAAACAAGTTTATTTAAACATATGTCCGTGTATGTTGTTTCACTATAGAGACAAAACTAATTGTCACAACTAGCAAATGTATGTAACAGTTTACAGTACAGGTGGTTTCAATAACACTGCCTAACACTAGTTACTTGATAAAACGATACAGACACCATAAATTACAAAGATAATTAAAGCTCTTCAGGATAAACAAATGTAGTTTCATGTTAAAATTTGAAGTCATTCTAGAAAGAAAAGAAGGTTAATTTAAATTTATTTTAATTTCCTTTTGGTGGTTATGAGGTCAGTCAGATTGACCAACCTTTCATAGAGTTACTGTAGAAACAAAAATGGATAAAATATAATGTTTTGCTGAGAAAAAACATTTGAAATGTATTTAGAAGATTACGCAAATGAAGTTTGAGATTTTTGAGATGAAGAAAAGTATTTTTAATCTTAACATGAAAATCATTTTGCTCTCAAACTAAGTAAAAAAAAAAAAGACTTGATATATTCACGAACAAATGCTTATTAAAAATACCTAACTAAAAACCTGATCTTCTGTATGTAATAGTCTTGTAATGTTTACTGAAAGTCTGCCAAATTTTGTGAAAATACACATACTATATTAAAAGTTAGTAGTATCAACACTATAACAAGTACAAAGTGGTCACGAGGTCTGTCAATTCAACCAAGCTATATATACCTCAGTTTACTAAGTTTGTATACATATATGTATAAAGTTTTTAATCCTGTCTTTTCTTAAAATGTCCTTTAAAAATTAAGTTTTTATTTCATGAAGTACACGTTTTATTAAAATCCTATCAGTCATGTTTAAAACTTACTCTTGTAGCAGATCTTACAACCAGATGAATAGTCAGTCCATCCTTTATATCTAAAGAGGAAAAAAAAAACATTCAAGAAATGCGCACTAAAAGTCCCAAGTAAAAACTTATTATTTGCCTCTTTAAGTCAATGGTAATTATATAATTATGTTTGATGACAATTATATACCAAAATCTGCAAAAGTGATAACATTTTACAACTTCAGAATGCACTGTTTCATCAGTTGGATAGTGGGATTTTGTACAGGTAAAGCCATGGTTATCAGTGTTCCATCAGCTTCTTTACCAACAAGATATCATTTCACCACATTTACTATATGCTTGAAATCTATAACTTGCTGTCATGTTCCTGAGGGAATGACATGATGTATCAGAACTTGCATGAGCTTGTAAGCAATTATGGTATTATAAATTTATATCAATTATGCACACCAATATCTGAGATGCCTGCCTAAACTTGTACTTACCACTTCTATAATTATTTCCATTATTGTATATTTCCTGAAAAGCACATCAGAATTATAAATAATCAAGGTAAAGTACTTACTGTGAGTTCCTAATGTTTCATGATCTTTTAATATTTTTCCAGCAAAGATGAGACAAACTTGATCCAAAGGTGTGCTGAAGTACTGGGATACTTTTTCTCTCAACTAAATAAAAAAGTATAAACACTTAAAACACAATTCTCTAAAAAAAACTATATTTCTTCAAAAATTCTATCTAATTCACTCATAATCCAACAAGAAGATACTGAAGTAGTGTACTTTTAATTTACAGCGTGGCACTCAAACAGAAACCTTAGAATCAAACTTTATATAAAATCTTACATTACTAAGGTATTTCTTAATATGACTTTTTCTAAATTATGTTTACTTTGTTTTATCAATTATCTCTTTTCTTTTCTTAGAGTAATTGATTAAGATGTCATTAACTTTGCAAGAATATTTAGAAATGATTCCATATATATATATATATATATATATACAGATCCCGAAAGTGACAAGTCACTACAGAATTTAATTTCCAGCACCCTAGCAGAAAAATCCTTTGTTTCACACAAGTGATGAATGCTTGATCAAGCCCAGAAAAAAAAACTATTTCCAATTGCATGCAACCTAAAATTAGGAGAGGTAGGTACAATAATTTTGGGAGAAATGAGCTTGGGGGTACACAGTTGACTTGAAAACATAGTCTTTCAAACTTCCCTTTACATTGTGATCTTTTTAATTTTAATGACATTAACCTACCAGTTTTTTTTAAATAAACAAGCTTTTGTGCTATTATCTACGTTGCCACAAGGTGAGTTTTCCATTGACCAGTCATAAAACAGAATTCTTGTTACTAACATATTTATGAATGTAAATTCACTATGTTTTAAAAAAAATTTATTTTATTGTAGCTTCAGACTGTTGGTATATATCTAAGGTGAGGTTTTTTATGGACAACTTGCATAACAGTTAATTTCAAATTCCTCTTTCTTATTTCATTTTCCTTGATTTCAAACTCGGAAGAAATATGTTTAAATATGGTTAGGTATGTTCAATTTTAATTGCACTGGTTATGATAAGTTTACTTTTTTAATATTTTATTCTATCTTTATTGAAATAATTTTACTTCCATTAGATATGATTAACTTCCTTGGGGGTTGCCATGAGGCAATCTCAGGGTAAGGAAGCTAAATAAAAATTGCTAACCCTGAGAATACCTTAGAGTAAACATTTGCTTTCTAGTTCTGCTCTGTGTTTCTGTCATCTACCACTATTTGACATTGCAGAAAACTATGATCATGGTATTGGGAACAAATTATCAAAATAATCAATCTCCTGCTGAACTAACAAAAATATTTAATGATCAGTTTTCAAGACTTAAATATTATGAAATATTTTACTTTTATCGTAATTTTGAATATGTGTAATTAGATAAAAATACATAGAAATTAAAAGATGCTTTATTGGGAAATCTTGTCTGTAAACATTCATTTATAGTCATGTCAGTTTCCTTCACATCTCAGAATGAAATACTAAAACTGTCACTTTGGTTTTGCATAATTTATGCCCATGAAGGGACATGAAACAAATATTGAGTTGATTGGTTAATCCTTATTCACACTAGTTGTCTTTTCCCACCTATATTTTGAATTGAACAGTAGATGTCACATTGTTTCATACTATGCTGTGTATATGATACATTTCCATGTACGACATTTAAAGTTTAGAATTAAAAAACAACTTAATTGGGAAAGAAATAATGAAATAAAATTACATTCACTCAAGGGAAAGATACCTGGAAGATTACATTTCCTCAGGTAAAGTTGAATTACTTCAGGAATTGTTATTTTATTTAATCTATACATTATGTTCACTTTCATTGGTCATAACTAAAGGAAAATGGATGGACCATGCATTCCTGATCAAGAAAGCCAAATAAAAAGATTAAATTCCTGCAGGAATGAAATATTTTGATCCCTACTTAATCATAACTTATTGTATTTGGGTAGTTTAAAAATGTCTTTTAAAAGAATCCCAAAATAGAAAAATTAGTTCAATGTGAAAATAACTGAGTAGATTAATGTAATAGCAAAATAAGCCTGAAAATGAATCAATTAGCAAATCCCACTAATTGTCAAGCTGTACATGCTAATCATTATTAATTTCAAATTGGCAAAATAAGATACATCATACAGTACTCATACATGACAAACAAAACCACATCTTGTATTGTCATTATCACCAAATCATTTTAAACAACTTGAAATATCTTCCAAAAATATGGGTGCTACTATAGCGTGAGGTCTACCGCTGCATTATCCATCCCTCA